GGGTTGAAGGTTTGGGGTGTAGGGTTGAGGGTTTGAGGTTGAGGGGCAGTGGCCACTAAACTCGCTAAGCCATCAACCATCAAGCCCAAAACTTTCATCCGAGCCCGGTGCCAGTAGAGCGGGCCCTTGAGGTACTCCGAGGTGTACTGCAAGTAGACCTGCCTTAAGGACGACATGAACACTAAGAGGGTTTCAGGCTTCATATACCATATAGGGATACATAGTATAAGGAAACCCTAAACCCTTCTTTACAAGGGTCATTTGGTCCCCAAGGTGCTCGAAAAGGCGCTCGTCTGCCACCGTCTCGACGTACTTGGACCTGGGCTCCCGTTCACACCGGAGGGGGTTCCTTTTTAGGGTGTCCTTCAAAGGTTTACCATTGGGCTTTATTTATCGTTTAAGGGTTACTGGAAGGGTCCTACCAGGGTACAATAAGCTTCAGGATTTAGGGTTTAATGGTCACGACGACAGACCTACATTGACATACACAAACACATACATGCATCTTAGATACAAATTGAAACCCTGTGTGACCAGTCTTGCTAAGCACTGCAGTCACTCTACGTAAACCTCCAACCCTTAAAACCCTTAAGCCCGAAACCACCATTGAATCCTAAACACTAAAGTCACAAGCCCGTAAAGCCTAAACCCTCAACCCTTAGACCCTTAAGCCTTAAGGCCTACACCCTAATCAAACCCTTAACCCCTCAACCGCTAAACCCTAAACCTTTAAACCCCTAACCCCTAAACCCCTAAACCCTAAACCCCTATAAACCCTAAACCCTAAAACCCTAAACCCCTAAACCCCCAAAAACCCTAAAACCCTTATAAACCGCAAACCCCTTAAAACCCTAAAAAAACCCTAAAAACCCTAATAACCCTAAACACCCTAAAACCCTGAACCCCTAAAACCTAAACCCTCAACCCCTAAACCTCCAAAAACCCTAAACCCTAAACCCCTAAGACCCCCTAAAAAACGCAGTCCGAGCATCTTCTCGGCCGGCTTGGTCTCGGCCTGGCGCGCAGCGCGAGCGCGGAAGGCCACCGCAAGACCGGCGTGAGCTCCCACCTCCCAGGTCCGGGATTAAGGTTTAGGGTTTATAGGGTTTAGGGGTTTAGGGATTTAGGGGTTTAGGGTTTAGGGGTTATTGGGGTTTAGGGGTAATTGGGGTTTAGGGTTTATAGCGGTTATTGGGGTTTAGGGTTTAGGGGTTTAGGCGTTTAGGGGCTTAGGGTTTAGGGTTTAGGGTCCAAAGGACCCAATAAATAAGGTGCTTGGGTTTAGGGTTGTAGCTATGTAGGTTGCTTTTTGGGTTGTTTTTTGTGGTTATTGGGCACTTGGACCCTGAGGGTTTTGGGTTGGCTTATCTAGAACAAGGTCCCTTTCAAGGGTTCATAGATAGGGCTTTGAGAGTGTTGTAGGGCTTTACCGGTATGGGGGGGCAACCCTAAACCCTAAACCGTCATGACTCAAAGTTGCAAGTAGGATCTAGACTTCATGGGGTGCAGGTCTAGGATTAGGGTTCAGGGGTGGGGGATCTAAATACTTTTTGTTCTGCTTTTGGTGTTGCAAACCTTGTTTTAAACTAAGGAAGTTTGGGTAACGCCATGCTGTACTTGTGCTAGGGAGCTCTTGGGAAGGCTGTTGCTGACGAGGGCCTCGGGTTCCGAAAGGATGGCGGATGTGGAAGCTTAGCCGTTCCGGGTCCCTAAACTTTACGGTTGATGATATACATCCTGC